GCGCCGTGCGCGTGGTGGGGCGCTCTGCCGTGGGGCTGGGGCCCCGTGTCTGGCGAGGTCTCGGGGTGCTGGGCGTGGTGGAGGATCCCTACGGGAGGCCCCCCGTGGGGCCCTCCCGAGAACCCTGTGGGGAACACCCTGCTCGGGCGGCGAAGGTCGAGGCCGGAGCTGGGGCTCAGGCCGCCTCCAGGGTGGGCCCTGACGGCGGGGTCCTGCACCCCGAGGAAGCTGCCGGTATGCACGGACGGCCGCTGAGGCCGAGCCGAGGCGTCCGCAGCCTTGGGGGACTGGTCCATGGCGACGTGGGGGACTCTGGAGCCCCGAGAGCTCCGGAGCGGGGCGTCGAGAGGTCCTCTCTCGGGTTTCTCTTCTCTTCGAAGCCGGGCTTGATGGCCGCGGCCGCACTCGGAGTTCTTGGAACTCTGCCCTGTGATGTCACCTGCTCGCTTGGAAGTTGTTTGTAATGGATTGGAGATCGATTGTTGCCAGCCAGGCGCTGGGGTGGGGGGAGGAGGGAATCACACCTATGACCTTAGCTACCTGGGGGTCGGGGGGCTGGAGGCTGAGATGGAAGGCTCCGAGTTTGAAGCTAGCTCACACCTGTAATCCTAGCTACTCAGGAGGCTGAGATCTGAGGATCGCAGTTCAAAGCCAGCCTGGGCAGGAAAGTCCAGGACACTCATCTCCAATAAACCACCAGAAAACCGGAAGTGGCGCTGTGGCTCAAGTGGTAGAGTGCGCACCTTGTGTGAAAGAGCTCAGCGCTCAGGCCCTGAGTTCAAGCCCCACGACAAAACAAATCTCAGGTTCACCCCCAGTGAGAGACCGCTATGTCTATGTGAGAAAGCAAAAGGCCTGGGATAGGTGTTAGCGTCCTTCATACGTCTAATTCACAACGATCCTGCTGTCCGGTCTTCCTCCTGAAATCCAGGCAGAACTTGTCCTACCCTTGGAATTAATTCTCACACTGCAAAGGTCTTCTGGAAGGTTCTAGGTCATCCCTTTGTAGCTTCTTCCTGAGTGCTTGGCCACAGCCATCCTGGGCACAGGCAGCGGACAGGCAGAGGGATGGAGGAGATACCGCTCATTTCCTTCCAGAGCTCTGTTAGTGCCAGCAGCGGGCAGGCAGAGAGCAGTTTGTGGCAGGACTTTTAATCCCTCAGTGCTTTCTCTTCTTCTCCCTGGGCACAGGCACACACACCCCTCCCCCACCCCTACACAACCCTCCCTCTCTGCTCTCTCCTTTTCTTTTCTTCCCACTTGCTAGGCAAGCACACTACCAGTGAACTACGCCCCCAGCCCTAGAGCATCTGTTGAATAGAATTATGGCCAAAAGAAACACAAGCAACTTCTGGGTCGTGTGTGTGTGTGTGTGTGTGTGTGTGTGTGTGCATGCGCACACTTGACAGTGCTGGGGCTTGAACTCAAGGCTTTCCCCCCCCCCCATGGCTTTTTTTTGTGGGGGGAGGTGTCAGTCGTGGGCCTGAACTCTGGGCCTGGGTGCTGTCCCTCAGCTCTTCAGCTCAAGGCTAGCACTCTACAACTTGAGCCACAACGCCACTTCTGGCTTTTTCTGCTTATGTGGTGCTCAGGAATTGAACCCAGGGTCTCATTCATGCAAGGCAAGCACTCTACCACTGAGCCACCTTCCCGGCACCCCCATGGCTTTTTCACTCAATATTGGTACACTATCCCTGAGCTACAGCTTTCCTTCTCTTTTGGCTGGTTAATTGGAGATGAGTTTCTGGGATTTGACTGCATGGGCTGACTTCAAATCATGATCCTCAGGTCTTAGCCTCCTGAGTAACTAGGATTACAGGTGTGAGCGACCAGCAATGTGGGGCTTGGGGTTTGAGCACTGGGCAGGTGCCCTTGGGTCTTTAGTCCTTGTGGGTTGGCACATGGATACAATAACAGAAGCTTTCAGAGATGGGAACCTCAGAACCACTTACAAGAGATGGTTCAGCCCGTTCGGTAGTGAATGAGGCAGGACTGCTCATTCAGTCAAGTCTTTTTTAAATTTTTCATGTGGGATCAGGACATCTGTTAGTAAGTTGTATACATGCATGGCATGCTGGGAAATAAGCACCCTTCTCTCCTACTCCCTGACCTCCCCTGTGTGCTGGCCACTGACTTGTGGAACAAACAAGCCTTATGGGAATGGAAAATCAGGGGAAATTTCCCTTCTAAAGAAATAGTTAAGGGGGTTGGAGATGTGGCTCAGCGGATAGAGCACCAGCGAATGAGCAGAAGTGCAGGTACTGAGTTCAAGTCCCAGACCTAAAAATGAAAAGAAAAGAAATAGTTAAGGGCTGGAGGCATGGCTCAATTGGTGGAACACCAGCATTTGCTCTGAGCAAGGAGACCAACCAAGTTTCCCCTGCCAAATTCTGGCATTTGAACAAGCAAAAGAGAGAGAGAGAGAGAGAGAGGAGGAGGAGGAGGAAAGAGAAAGAACAAAGAAAGCAAGCAAGCAAGAGTTAAACTAGACATTGTGGCACACATTGGTAATCTAAGTATTCAGGAGGCTGAGGATGGTGAGCTTGAGTACAAATGACTACATAGCAAAATTTTGTCTCTTAAGAAAAAAATCTGGGGGCTAGGAAGGTAGCTCAGTGGTAGAGCACTTGCCTTGCATGCCTAAGGCCCTGGGTTCGACTCCTCAGCACCACATAAGCAAAAAGAAAAAAAAAAGCCAGAAGTGGTGCTGTGGCTCAAGTGGTAGATGGCTAGCCTTGAGCTGAAGAGCTGAGGGACAGTGCCCAGGCCCAGAGTTCAGGCCCCACGACCGGACCCCAAAAAAAAAAAAAAGAAAGAAAAAAAAATCTGGGTAGTAGTTCACAGCAATCCCAGGCCTCAGGAGACAGAGACAGGAGGAAGACTTACAAATCAAGGCCAGCCTGGATTACATAGTGAGGCCTTGTTTTAAAAACAAATAGTATTTTGGGGGCTGGGAAAGTGGCTCAGTGGTAGAGTGCTTGCCTTACATGCACGAGGCCCTGGGTTCTATTCCTAAGTACCACATAAGCAAAAAAAACCGGAAGTGGTGCTGTGGCTCAAGTGGTAGAGCACTAGCCTTGAGCTGAAGAGCTGAGAGACAGTGCCCAGGCCCAGAGTTCAAGCCCCACAACTGACAAAAAACAAACAAAACAAAATAATATTTTCATGCTGTGACTCAGTTGCATCCCCTACTCTTGGTATCAACACCCTAAAATGGGAGTTATGCAGATTGAGTTAATTTTATTGTAAAGATTTCATAATACCTGCAGTTGATTTAGTTATCTTCCATGATTTTTTACATCTTAATAACATTTATGCTTTATAAAAAAGGTCTAACATTCCAATATGAAGATGTGTGTGTGTGTGTGTGTGTGTGTGTTCCAGTCCTGGGGCTTGATCTCAGGGCCTAGAATTTTCACTTACCAATTTCCTCATAGCTAGTGTTCTACCATGTGAGCCATAGCTCTGCTTCTGGCTTTTTCTTGGTGAATTGGAGATAAGAGTCTCCTGGACTATGCTGTCTGGGCTGGCTTCGAACTCTGATCCTCAAATCTCAACCTTGCTGAGTAGCAGGAATTACAGGCATTGAGCCTTGGACCTTGTCCAGTCCCTGTTGAGGGCACATCTCCAGTGGCCTAAGGACTTCCTGTAAGACTCCAGCCCCTAAGAGCACCTTCAGATTGTGCTAAAGCACCAAGCCTTTAACTCCTGAGCCTTTAGGGGAACATTCAAAACCCAAATTACAGCAGTTGGTGAGAACTGAATAATTAGCAAGCATATAAAATTAGAACAAGTGACATTCCAGTGCCAGACACAGTACAAAAGAGTGAAGTTTCTATTGTCATGGAGAACAATAGCTTGACATATTGATGACAGGTTATGTGATGCTAAAGAGGTCTTCATTTTATCCTCTGATAATAAGCTAAAAAAACAAACAAAAAACAAAAACAAGCGGTTCTTTATTCAAGCTGATGAACCAACAGATTTCACCAATAAATGTCATGCTATTTGTAAATGTCACTGAAAGCAAAAAAAAATTCATTTTTTCCCCAGCAAGGAAATAAGGATCCAAGATACATTTAATGTTTATTCGTATCTGTACTCCAAAGTTCTGTCTTGCCAGATCATGGCATTTTACTCCTGTAATCCCAGCATTTGGGAAGTGGAGGCAGAAAGATGGAAAGTTTGAGAACAGTTTGGGCTGTGAAGTGAGTTGTGAAACTCTGTCAAAAAAGAAAAAAACAAAGGAAGTCAGATGCTGGTGGCTCACACCTATAAGCCTAAGGAGACTAGCTGCGTGCTGGTGGCTCACGCCTGTAATCCTAGCTACTCAGGAGACTGAGGTCTGAGAATCGTGGTTCAAAGCCAGCATGGGTAGGAAAGTCCATAGACTCATCTCCAATAAACCACCAGAAAACCAAAGTGGCGCTGTAGCTCTAATGGTAGAATGCTAGAGCACCAGCCTTGAGTAAAAAAAGTCAAGTAGGAGTATAAGGACCTGAGTTCAAACCCCAGGACTGGCAAACAAGAAAAACAATTTTTTTTGTCAGTCACAGGGCTTGAACTCAGGGCCTGGGCATTGTCCTTGTGATTTTTTTGCTCAAGACTTGCATTTTTTGAGTCACAGTGCCAGTTCTGGTTTTCTGGTGGTTAATTGGAGGTAAGAGTCTCAAAGACAAAGACTTTCCTGCCTGGGCTGCCTTTGACAGATATCCTCAGATCTCAGCCTCCTGAGTAGCTAGAATGACAGGCATGAGCCATCAAGGCCCAGCTTAAGAAAAAATATTTTGTCTCAGCATTTGTATTCCATTAGAGTTCTTACTGTTCTTGTAAAAAATTATCTAGGGCTGGGAAGGTGGCTCAGTGGTAGAATGCTTGCCTTGCATGCCTCAGCACTACATAAGCAGAAAAGGTTGGAAATGTCGGTGTGGCTCTAGTGGTAGAGTGCTCCTCTTGAGCTGAAGAGCTGAGGGACAGCACCCAGGCCCAGAGTTCAGGCCCCATGACTGGCAAAAAAAAAAAAAAAATCTATCTATATACATATTAAAGAAATAAACAGGGCTGGGAAGGTGGCTCAGTGGTAGAGCGCTTGCCTTGCATGCATGAGGCCCTGGGTTCAATTCCCCAGCACCGCATAAGCAAAAAGAAAAAAAGCCAGAAGTGGCACTGTGGCTCAAGTGGTAGAGTGCTAGCCTTGAGCTGAAGAGCTGAGGGCCCAAGCCCAGAGTTCAAGCCCCACTACCGACCAAAAAAAAAAAAAACAAAAAAAACAAAGTTCAGGCCCCACGACTGGACC